GAGCAGCACGTGTGAGGCCGGCGCCTCCTTTTTTCCCCTCCTCCTCGCTCTCTCTTCTTCCTGCCTCTCGCCTCGTCGGCGTGGCGGCCCCTAGCTCTAGGGGGTCGCGGGGTGGGCAAAGCCCCATCCTTCGGGCGTTCGTGGGGGTCGGACCCCATGCGCGCTTGCTTCGTGCGCAGGAGGAGGAGGAGGAGGAGGAGGAGGAGGAGGAGGAGGAGGAGGAGGAGGAGGAGGAGGAGGAGGAGGAGGAGGAGGAGGAGGAGGAGGAGGAGGAGGAGGAGGAGGAGATGGAGGAGGAGGAGGAGGAGGAGGAGGAGGAGGAGGAGGAGGAGGAGGAGGAGGAGGAGGAGGAGGAGTCGGGGGCCCAAATTCTCTTGGGCTCAAGGGTCGCCGAAACGCTATGTTTGCGACCGCCAGGGCTGGGGTTCTACGCGATTGCCTTTTCGGCTAAGCCCTTCCCGCAATCCCTTCCTGCCTTGGTATCCTGGAGATAGAAAGTGGCCGGCGAGATCTTTGACTCGCGAATGGCTTGAGAGCTGCTCAACCTTTGCGCGCAGTGCAAGTGTGGTCGGACGATGTTGTTTCACCCGCAGGGGCGACCAGATAACCGCGCTTCGCGCTTCGCGGTCTGAGCCAGAGAATTGTTTTTCTCTAGGGGTGCTGTGCGAGAATGTGAATTTCGCGCAGCGCGAAATCCGAAGCGCGAGGCTAGGTGACCCGCAGTGAGCTGGCACTGGGCGGCAATTTGAAATTCTGGTCAGAACCCACCCCTTGAGAGGTCCAGGGAGTAGCAGTACCGGTATGGTATTTGTCTGTCCCTCAAATCCCGCCTCAAAAATTGATCCTGGACCTCTCCTGCAGTGCGCTTTGGCTCGAATTTCGAGGCGGGTTCAGCCGTGGCGATGAGGAGCTTCCAGGAGGCCTAAGCGTCTGAAATTTTCAAGCCTCGATCCTCGCACTTCGAAGTCTTCCTTTGCCCAGACTGTTTCTCGCCGACGCCCCCTCCCCCCGTACATGGACATTACATTCGAACCCTGTGGCCTCAGATGCCCCCCAGACCCCCCGAAATTGATATTGATGTCGTGACGGCGGGGGGGGTGCGTTGGTGGACAGAAGTATTCGAATGCCCAGAGCACCGCCTTTATTGAGATCAACATTGATGTCCGGGGCGTAGGGATGCTTTAGAATCTCCCTCGAATGTGGCATGGTTCGAATCTATTGTCCATCTGCTGTCCCTGTGGAGAGGTGCCGGCGCTCAGGTGCATCTTCACCTGGGGTGAGGCCCTGCCCCCAGCCATGGCCGCGCGCTGGCGGGCGTCGGGCGCCCAGGTGGCCGTCGTCGTCGTCATCGTCGTCGTCGGCGTCGTCGTCGCCGCTGTCGTCGTCGTCGTCGTTGTCGTCGTCGTCGTCGTCGTCGCTGCCGTCGTCGTTGTCGTCGTCGTCGTTGTCGTCGTCGTGATCGTCGTGGAATTGGTGGTGGTCGTCGTCGTCGTCGTCGACGTCGTCGTAGTCGTCGTCAATGTGGTTGTGATGGCGGGTTGCCGACATGAAATTGCGTCTGCCGCCCGACCCACAGAAAGGCCCGAGACACAAGTCTGTTAGCCAGCGTGGACCCCAAACAGTGCATTCCTAACAGTATTTGTTTTGCAGTTTAGATGTAACATAGCAGTCTATGTGATGCAATCGACGTGGTGCGATATATGTTTGGCAGTAAATGTTGAGATCTATAGGTTGTGCAAAATTTGTTGTGCAATCTTAGTGGGTCAATATACGCGCTGCAGTCTACGTGGTGCAGCACATGTTGTGCAATACATGTTGTGCAATCTATGTGGTGCAAACTATGTGGTGCAAACTATGTCGTGCAATTCGTGTGGTGCGCAATCTATGTGATGTCATCGACGTGGTGCAAGTTATGTCGTGCTGTTGATGTGGTGCAATTCGCCCTGCCGAACTTGAAGTTGTCAACTCCACTGCCCGCGCAATCACCCCACCCACCCACCCACTTGCAATGTGGGTTGCAGAAGCCATGCTGCGGCGATTGCGATGACTGCTTGACGCTGGCAAACGCATCGCTTCGGCCACGCTAGCGCGCGCAAGCTCGCGCGCAGAGCGGCCTGCTAGGTTGGCGCGACCGACGCGGCCGCTGTGGCGCTGATCGCTGGGGATCTCCCAGCGCGTCTCGCAGGCCGCGCTGACGCGCAGGCACTTAAGTGCGAGTCGGTGACCTCGGGCGGACGTGGTCTCATGGTGGCGTCGGCCAATGTGGGCGCGATGATAATCATAGCAATGGTGGTGGCGATGATGACGATGACAAGGGCGAGGCCAATGACAGCGCCAATGCTAGTCACGCCGGTGACGACGAGGGTGTGCACGCGTCGGCGATGAAAGTCGTGAGTGGATTTCAACATGCGCGCGCGGCCGACGCGCGTGAGTGGTCCGCATGGCATTATTTGGCAGGGGTCGTGCGCCCCCTGCAGGCGCGCAGTGGCGTTCGAATGATTTCGGCATGCGCGCGCGAGAAGCTCGCGCGGTCTTATTCGGCAGAGTGGTTGAAACCTTGGTGATTTGCATAAGATTTCGCAAGATCTCGCGCAGTTGTTTTGAACACTCAGGTTGCGAAACCCCGCTTTGTTGTTATATGTTTTCGGGGACCTCGATCTTGAAGTTCTTATGGGGCGTGTGGTTGTTGATTGATTTCGACATGCGCGCGCGACGCCGCGCGCTTGCTGATTTTGTCAACCCTTTTGCAAAAGGGTGTTTGGACATTTTTTTGTTATATTCCTCTTCTTATACTTTTATAAGCCCGGGCGGGGGGAAAACCCGTCACCCCCCCCCCGAAACCGGATTCCCGAGATCTGGGGCTTTGGGACCTTCCGAACGGGCCTCGAAGCGGCCCCCCGGGCCTCGCAGGGCGTTTTGCCAAGCCTTCGCAGCACACCTGGGGCGATCAGAGGGGTCCTCGGAGACGTCCCAGAGACCCCCAAGACAACACAAGAGCGCTCCAAGAAGCCGTCATACCCCCAAAGATCGCTCCAAAACGTTCCAAGAGGCCTCCAAGAGCACCCCCTAGAAGGCCCCAAGAGGGAACAATCATTGATTTTACGTAGGTTTTTGGTGAATTTGGGGTTCTCTTCTTTTCGGCTTCCCGACGCTCCAAGACGGCGGTCTTCTGGGCGTCCGAAGCCGCCTGGGAGGCTCCAAAATCGCCCCACAACCATCCGAAAGGGCTTGCAGGCAGTCCAAGAGAGCCCCAAAACGGCACAACAGAGGTCCAAGATGGCCCTAAGAGAGCCCCATGGCGGCCCAAGATGGCCCCAAGACACCCTCCGAAGCATTCCAAATCGTGACCGGGGCGTTCAGGGAGACCGCGGTTAGAGGCAGGTTGGCCTGAGGAAGCCCCAGAGGCTCCCAGAACACGCCCAGGAGGCTTCCAGAAGGCTTTAAGAAAGCCTGAGAACTTGGGTGAGGCCCCCAGAGGTTCTCCAAGGAGAAGCCTCCGCAAAAAGAGCTGAGGAAGACGGGGAGCATGCCCAGGGTATGACGAGAATGACGAAACATAATCATGGAGGGAGGATGACGAACAACATTATTATAATGGCGATGCCAGAAAAGGCAGCAAGGACCTTCCTGCCATTTCCGCCTGCATACCAAACTTGAAGGACCAAGGTGCATGGCGCGAAGCGCCACTGCAGTCTTGTATATATATATATATAGATATATCTATAAAAAAAACGAGCGCGCGCATATTACAATATTACTTGACAAGGATGAAGGGGGCTGGTAAGGGTTTCCTTTTGGGATGGTTCGAATTCACGTTTGAAACGAACGATGGGGCAGCATCGTCTGTACATTAAAGTCTCCCAGAGGGGGTCGCGAATTCCGGGGTGGTCGTGGTGGTAGATCCTAATTGGTTTCTGGCATACACATGGGGCGGTCTATGTGATGCGACCGACGTGGTGCAATCTTTGTCATTTTGCCGAATTTGAGGTTGTCCATTGCTCGCGCAATTATTTCACACACCCACCCGCAATTTGGTTTGCACAACCCATGCGGCGGCGATTGCGATGACTGGTTGGCGCTGGTTGGCGCATCGCTTCGGCCGCGCTAGCGCACGCAGGCTCGCGCACAGAGCGGCCAGCGAGTTTGGTACGACCGACGCGGCCGCTGTGGCACTGATCGCTGGGGATTTCCCAGCGCGTCTCGCAGGCCGCGCTGACGCGCGGGATTCGGGCGGGCACGGTAGCATGGCGGCGTCGACAATGCCAGACACGATGATGATAGTAGCGACGTTGGAAACGATGATGACAAAGACGACGGCAAGGCCAATACCGGCGCCGATGTTGATCACGACGGTGGCAATGATGGTGTCCACGTGTCGGTGATGAAGGTTTTGCAAAGAGTACGACATGCGCACGCGGCCGACGGGCGTGCATGGCCTGCATGGTACTATTTGACAATGGTCGTGAACCCCCAGCACGCCCGCAGGGGCCTTCGAATGACTGTGATATCAATGCGCGAGAGGTTCATTGGGTCGCATTTTATGATCATGTTGAACAATCTGTGGTTTTCGTGCGAATTCGCAAGAGTCCGCGTGCAGTTTGTTTTGAAGCAACCGCTGTTTTTGTTTGTTATGTTTCGGGGACTGAATTCCGTATGTCACGCACGGTTTTTTGATGGATTTCGGCATGCGCGCGCGACGTCGTGCGCGCGTGGACTTTGCTTCATTCGTTGCAAATGTTTTTTCTTGCTTGCACAGATCCGATTTGTGATATACGAATGTGCGCGATTACGCGAATTGTGTTATTCAGCGATGGTGGGGCGGGGGATGATGGATTGGCTGGGATGAGCTGATTTTGTATTCATAGCGAACGCAACATCGCGTGTAAATCATAATACCCCAAGGTCGATAAGACCGGAAGGGGTGGCTGATTCGAGTACATATGTTGTGCAATCTATGTTGTGCAATCATTGCGGAGCAATCCCAAATAAGGTCAATATGTGTAGTGCAATCTATTTGGTGAATCCATGCGGTGCAGTCGACGTGGTGCACTATTCCCCAAACAGTACTTGCATTTAGGGTATCTCATTCTTGGTCTAAGGAATTGGGTTGGTGTGCCGCTCTGGCGGCTACGTTGTTGCCGTCGCCGCTCCGTCGCCGCCAGTCGTGCCGCTCTGGCGGCTAGGTTGTCGCCGTCGCCAGCCCGTCGCTGCCTCGTCGTCGCCGGTCGTTTTGACCGGGGTTGCGGTCTTGTGGCTATGCAGTCGCCGTCGCCGCCCCCGTCGCCGCCTCGTCGCTGACTTAAACTGCACAGCGTAGAGTCTCTTCTTAAAAGGAAGTCGGACCCCTTCCCTTCTTTCTGGGTTTTGCGCTTGTTTTTGGGATGCTACAATTACTGTATGATTCTGCCCCATCGTTGATTTTCAATATGAACGCAGATCATTCCTGCCAAATCCGTTGTTGCCCTCCTCATGCCTAATGTTATTTATTCGCTTCGCTCGTTCCGCCTGCCCGTATTGTGCCATCGCATGCGTTTGCCTGCGCGTTCGTGGCCTCTTGGGGCCCCCTGGGGGCTTCTTGGGGGTCTCTTGGAGGTCTGTTTGGGCCTCTTTGGGCGCTCTTGGGGCCTCCTGAGCCCCTCGCGGGGCGGAAAGCTTGAATTGCTGGTTCGTGGTTTCCTTCGTGGGCCCCACTTGGGGCCGTCGTGGTGGCCCTCGTGGGCCGTCTTGGGGCCCTTTTGGGGCCTCTCAGGGGCCTATTGGGGGTTTTTGAGGCGGTGTTGGAGGCTTCTGGGGCTCTCTTCGGACGTCGGAAAGCCGAAAGGGCAAGACGGCCAAACACTTCGAAAAACCTATAGAACAAACATATGTTTTGTCTCCCAGGGACCTCTTGGGAGACCTCTTGGAAGCTTCTTGGGCCGTCTTGGAGGTCTCTTGCGCCGTCTTGGGGCCATCTTGGGCGGCTTGGGGCGTTCGTGGGCCTTCTTGTGCGCCTCTTGGGCCCTTTTGGGCCGTCTTGAGCCGTCTTGTGGCGGTCTTGGAGGCTTTTTGGGCCCTCGTGGAGCGTCGGAAAGTTGAAAAGGCGAGAAGGCTGGGACCCTTCCAACTCGTACGGAAAATCAACTAGTCACAACCATCCTGTGGTGTTGGGTCCTCGTTTTGAAGAGACCGTGCCCAGCGTTCACTTCTCCCGCTGCCCCGTCCCTCCTCCTCCTCCTCCTCCTCCTCCTCCTCCTCCTCCTCCTCCTCCTCCTCCTCCTCTCATCATCATCATCATCATCATCATCATCATCATCATCATCATAATCATCATCACCATCGTCGTCGTCGTC